CAAGTATCGAATTTTGTAAGGTTGTACAATATCGATTTATTTTTATTTTTTTTTTATTTTWAATYAAATTTAAACATAATTTTTTTTCGATTAAAGATGCCGGTAACATTAAATGTGACAAACAAATTTTGTATGGCTTAAATTCTAATTTATATCTACGAGAAAACATGCTTTTCTTGCGTTCTGCWTGCGTTGTTWGCAGTATACGAAACGAGTTTAAGAAAACTAAATATTTGTATTGTTCATATTTGATATAATGATATGATAAACACATTAGTTAGATATTCTTAATTTACAACCATTATCATTCCGTCACCGTGATTTAGCCGTAAGGGTATACAATAACTATGTATATAATGGATAAAAATTAAAAGGTGAAAAAAGGCTCGAATGGGTTGAAATAGGTTATGGAAGTTCATTAATAGTCATGCGCAGTAAATTTTATAACAGTCATAAAATAATRTAGTGATAACCGTATYCATATCAGGTGCTAATTTATCTACTTACTAATCTACATKAAATTGATATATWATTCGAGGTACCCAAAATAATGAATATGASATTCATGGTTGAAATTATTGTAACTTTTTATTTGTTTACAAATTGTTGAAATTGGATTTAGATTACATAATTAATAGTAGAAGTTATATGTACATGTATTTTTTTTTTTGGTTTATTGGTTTATTGGTAGTTCTGTTACTATACCACTATACAATGTTGATTATTATTTATTTTCCAGTTTATAAAATAATAAATATGTTATTGAAATAAACGGTTTAAAAGTATAAAGTTGAAAATTAATATTTTTGATATTGAAATCTACTGAAAAAAAGTATTCGAAAAATATTTGGAATACTTTTTGTAATTCTTGAAATGTTTATCAGCTGAAATAATGTCGTCAAAAATATGATTCTACTAAAACACGTGTTAGCAAWGTAAAATAAGCTGGCATTTCAACAAGCACCCGGATGTATAGCAAGTTAAGTCAAATTTTTCAGTAGCTTATAAACGACCAAGTTTTTTTTCATACACAATGTAAATCCTATATAGGTAGTACATAATATGGAAAATATTTTCACTTACCGGTTCTAAGAGTGAGTTCGACACAGCCTCACGAGTTGTGGATCCGTTTTGAAGTGACAAAGAAGTGGTTTCAATAAATCAAYCATAGACAATTTAAAATATTAAATTATAACAGATATGATATGTTTTATACAATTAATGATATTATATGAAAATGGGTTAAGAATTACGGTAGTCGGTGTATTCTAAGAGGTTATAACACAAAACAAAACACAATGAAAGAATGCAAAAAACACGTGGCTAGATGTGACTCGTAAAGAGATATTGTTATTTGAGCGCATACGAGAAAAGTGAGAACATTCCGAGTAGTTCTCACCTTATAACGGCGGCTTGAATTAGTCATCAGCAATGACACCAGAGTTCGATAGGARTATTAGTAGTGACAGGTTGGCCATATTTATCTATGAAAGAAATGGTGATACCCCAGTTCTCCCGGAGTGATAAGAGTTGTTATGCGGCGGTTATCCTGTGGTTACCATGTKACCAATTTGAGGTGGTGTTGCACAGCAATTCGAGGGATATTTTCGATCAGTGGAGCGGAGCGACGGCGCCGAGGAGCGTAGCGATGAGTGCCGCTAGCATGGCATCACTGACGTAACTTATTTCGTATTGGTGTCACTGCTAGATACCTGGTTACCCACTTGGTATATGCTTTATCACAATTCTTATCACACTCCGGGAGAACTAGTAGGTACCCGAAAGAAATGAGTTTCATTTATATACGATAAAATACCGATTGCAATCGTGATAACGTTAATACCACGGGTATAGATTACAGAAATTAAAGAAACCAATGAGTCCTTCGCCCCTACTTATACCACAGAATAGGTGAAATTTTTTTTTTTTTTCAATTTCACCTATTCTGTGCTTATTCTTAATAAACGTATTGTGTCCATGGGCCTATGGATATCTATAACCGTAGTCGTAATCTTTCGGAATTTAATTCAGTGCATTGCCCACCCGGAATGCTAAAAATTCGTACCTATTATGTATTTATTTTGTTAAGTTAACTTAAGTTTGCACTTATGTATTTGGTTTGGTATTATTTTATGAGTTACATACCTCAAACAAAACTAAAAACACTTCAAGGGACACTGAAAAAATTCGACTCGTCAAGATTCAATTAATTGAAACTCAACTGTAGTCTAATTATAAAWGTAATCCACAGCTTTGTGTTGGGAAAGTTATAGGCAATGAAAAAATTCTTAAATATGTCACTGATATCACAGATTAAATAAAACCAGATAGAGCACTTTGGAATAKAACATTTATTTAGATCACAGATATAGATAATAAACTAGATTGCTAACTAGTGATAACAGTCGACGCCAAAAAAGGCCATGGTGGTTGTAACTTGTAGCACAGAACAAATTTGTTCTGTGGTTGTGGGCTCTGTAGTGTTATCATAATAAGTAATATGATTAACGTGATATCAAATATATCGTTTGGCGGGTATTTAAAATCCGATCATAAATATGTTTGAAAAATATATATTGAAAAATTAACTATACGTMTATACAGAATGTATCAGGCCCGTATTTAGGAGTGGCAGGGGGGCCATTGCCCCTCCTGGTGGTATTTGGGGGCAGTATATTTTCATGAACTCTCTTTTATTATTAAGCCAACATAACTTTAGAATTATGAAAAATGTTTTTTTCCTTATGTAATGTGATTTGGTGGAGATTTCTCCAAAGTTTATTTTAGGATATTCTCTCAAATCTATTTTTATACCAACAACAATAATCCCTTGGAAAACTGATAACCGCATCGGTATGAGTGCAGCCCGCAGCTGCTAGCGTTGTTGTAATTTGTAAATAAGCAAAACAAAACATAATAATATTAATGTTTATTTTACTGTTACGTAATACCTATATCTTGATTATTTTTCYAAAGTTACTATAATAGTTAATACCTAGTTATCACTTATCATCAGTGGCGTGCCCAGGGGGGGATGATGGGGGATATATCCCCCCCATGGGCTTTTTTTTAGTCTTCTAACGAGTTGATTTTGGATCTCTAGTTCATCAACATAAACATAATACATCTTTATTTATGACATCCCCCCCCCACCCATACCAAATTCCTGAGCACGCCACTGCTTATCATCAATATTTAACGTTAAAATCGTTAGTCGTTCGTCGTATGACGTATATTTGACTAMGAACTACCTSTAGCCTACTGCGTCTATCCTAGTTATTCAAGACTCAACTGCACTCAAGTWTTAAATTATCTAACAAAATCGATTGAAGTAAGTAACTTTTAATTATATATATTACTTGTATTAAATATTATTATGTTTTATTTATATATAATAATAATAATGTTTAACACATTTATTGTTATTTGTCATTAAATAATAATATTAATCAGTAAYTGGTAATAACAATAATACCTTTAAAAGTTTAAACTATAAAGACATGAAAGCATGAAACTTTTTAATTACTTACGACTTCACTTAGTTTTTTATATTTGCCTATTATATGCGGATCGCAAAAACCAATTTCACCCTAGATGCCTGACCCCGGCACAATGTTGGAATTTGATGCATGGCAAAAAACACAACGGCACCCTATAGTAATTTATGCCGACTTCGAAGCGCTTCTCGTTAAATGTAACGAGAAAAAAGGAAAAAATACAACTGTAATTCAAAATCATGAACCTATGAGCTATGGTTTTTTCGTAAAGGCCGATGACCAAATACCAAACGAACTGCTTGAAGAATTTGAAATACCAACATCGCCAGTTATATACCATGGAAGTAATCAAAATAAAGAGGTAGCAAAACATTTTATACAAAGTATTGTGTAAATAGCAGAAAAATAGACAAACTATTAAAAACCATTAGACCTATAATTTGGACACCTGAAAAACAGCGATAAGATGATGCACGTACAACAAGTAATTTATGCAAAAAGGGATTTTCCAAAAAAAATCATAAAGTAGCTGATCACTGTCATTTATCTGGCAAATTCAGACAAACATTGCGTAATACATGTAATCTCAAGCTTCAACAACCCAATTTTATACCAGTTTTCTTCCACAATTTAACCAACTATGACGCTCACTTTTTAGTTACTGAGCTTGGATATGATACAAACWCAATTTCTGTAATACCAAACAGCGAGGAGAAATTTATTTCGTTTTCGAAATATATCAACAACTCATTCACAATCCGCTTTTAGATACATTTAGATTTATGTCCTCCAGTTTATCAAATTTAGCCAAMAATTTAATAACACCAGACTTGGAGAAGTTCAGAGAGACGAGAAAACATTTTCCAAACGAAGACATGCCACTCGTTACTCGTAAAGGTTAGCCTTATGAGTATACGGATGGCTGGAGCAAACTGAAGGAAACGCATCTGCCGCAGAAAACAGATTTTTACAGTACATTAACAGAAGAACACATTAAGGATGAGGAATATAAATTTGCAAAGACTGTTTGGAACCATTTCAACTGTCATACGCTTGGAGAGTATTCAGATCTGTATCTTAAAATCGACATCATGATGTTAGCTGATGTGTCGAGAACTTCCGAGACCTATGTTTGACAACTTATAGCCTGGACCAGGCGTTCTACTATACTTGTCCAGGCTTTTCTTTTGATGCGATGTTGAAACATACTTCAATGAAGCTCGAACTACTTCATGACTATGATATGTTGCTGATGATCGARAAAGGTAATGATATAATATTTTATAGTATAATGTTACTATTTAATAATACATATATGATTTATTTTAGGTATACGTGGTGGTCTCACACAAGCAAGTATGAGATACGCCAAGGCGAACCACAAAAATACTACAGATTATTACCAGGCAAATCCAAAATCATGGTTGATATACCAAGACTGTAAGTTTTTTTTATAATTTTAATTTATTCAGTTAGATATGTTTTTCTTAATTTAAGGCAATAACTTGTATGGATGGGCCATGTCACAATACATACCATACGGTGGATTCAACTGGGTAGATCCAACACTCGACGAACTGAATGATTTGAATGAAACCTCGCCCATAGGACGGATATATGAGGTAGATGTAATATATCCTAAAGAACTACACGACGCTCACAACGACCTGCCTTTCATCCCGCAAAACAGCATAACACCCGGCTCAAAAGTAAAAAAACTGATGGCAACATTAGAACCYAAGAAAAATTATACTATTCACTACCGTAATCTACAGCAAGCCATTMAAAACGGCCTCAAAGTAGATAAAGTAAGCGTTTATTTTAAAACAATCCTGTGATGAAGACATCTTTAACATTTTAATATTTATAGGTACATAGAGTCATAGAGTTTAATCAGTCAGCATGGTTGGCTGATTACATTAACCTGAACACTGAGATGCGCAAGAAGGCCACAAACGATTTTGAGAAAGACTTTTTTAAACTTATGAATAATGCAGTATTTGGTATATTATTATAAATTTTAATTTTTAATTTTTCCTAACACTTTCTYACGATTTTCCAGGCAASACGATGGAAAATGTCCGCCAACGTATACAAATTAAGTTAGTAGGTATCTAATGAGAAGTATTTACAGAAACTTATAAGTCTACGTTCAAGCACTGCACAACTTATAACGAAAATCTAGCAGCTGTTTCGATGGAAAATAAAATAATCAATTTTTGCAAGCCAATATACATATATATTACAAAACTATTACACGCACGCACGCACACACACACACACAAAAATAATATATTTTAATGTTATTTATTTCAAATTAATTGATTATTTTTTTTATCATAGGTTTTTCAGTACTAGATATAAGTAAAACTCTTATGTATGAGTATCATTACGATGTCATGCAAAAACATTATGGAGACAAAATTGAGCTCATGTATACAGATCCGGGTAAATATATACATATATTTCAATTTATCATGTATAATAATTGACATTACTTTTTAGATTCACTGGTTTACTATATTCAGACTAATGATTTTTACGAAGACGTCAATTTGCTGGAACGGATGGACACAGCAAATCTCCCGAAAGACCATCCGTGTTACATTGCCGAGAGGAAGAAGATCCCGGGTTTGTTTTTTGACGAGACGGATGGGCTCGTTATGACTGAGTTTTGTGCGTTTCAAGGTCATACGCATATATTCTACAAGGCAAGGAGAAGATCAAAGCCAAGGAAATCCGTGGGCACGTGGCAAGAATCATATGACATTCGATGGCCATAAGAAGTGCCTGTTTGATGACAGTGATTTAGACGTTAGTATTTTGAAAAAAATACTTAAAGTACTCGAAAAGGTTAGTATTTTGAATTAGTATTAAGAATAATATGATAAAATATATTAGATTTATTGAAAAAATATCCATATAATAGCCATATTGTTATTAAAAATAATAATTATATTTTATTAAATATATTATCTTAAATAATCTGTTTTTATCACAAATATTTTAAATAGGTAAGCCTAATTAAAGTACTCGAAAACACTAGTATTTTGAATTAGTATTATGAGTACCTATGGTAAAATATTTTTTACTTTAACCATGGCATTTATTTGATCGACATGTTCTACGTGTTCAGGTGCAAGCTATTAGTATTTCGATTTAAGTATATAGTGGCTGGCTATTAAGAGTCTGCGACATCCTGACGACACGGGTGATTATTAGGCAGGTTGTATCTAATAGGAATTATTTGATTAACGCGTTGTTAGTTAATTAATGTCAATATAGCGTTAAAATGATAATATTCATACCTAATGGCATAAATTGTCTCCTAATGGCAATACGGTGGCAGCCATTTGTACTTAAAAATGTTTATTATGCAAAGAAATAGCTTTAGGCCAGACTGAGAAAAAAAATTGAAAAAAATGAAAGGCCATGATTCATCATGACTACATCAACACACGGTGAAGATGAAGTAACCTTTCATTCATATTAATAATGGGTATTATTAAATTCGATTAAAGGCGAGATGCATGGCTGTTAACCGTAACGTTGCGCGCTTACATGAAAACAGAAAATCGCAAGTTTTAAAAGGATATTACTTCCAAAACAATGATTTGAACATTTTTTTTTGTACCGTTGTTCTTGACTCATCTAAATAGGTGTTTAAAAAAAAAATCATAAAAACGCTAGGTAATTAAACTAAATTTGTTCCTTTATTTAAAAATTAAAATACATGTAATGTTTTATAATTTGAAGTAGGTATTTATAATAATTTTTATTTTTAACACAAGGCATTCACCCTCCCCCCATGGCTCCATGTATGTATGGAATACACATTGCGTGCAGATACGTGACACTACTACAACCGCCAGGCGCTGAGCAGGAGGTGGTATAGGTTAAGAACCAATGGCTAACAGGTAGGGAAGCCGCAACGGGTCACGGTACAAATCGGCCACTTTTCATGTCGCGGACTATAATAGTAGGTACCCCTATGGATCATCGAAGATGGAACCACAGCGTAGCGTTTTATTTTGAAGCTGATATTAGCGACGAGTCTGTTGACTGTTTTAGGCGTTCGATATGCGCATGCGTGATTTCTTTTGTCGCATAATTATTATCCATAGGCCGTACTCAAGGTCAAAATATAACAGTATTACATGTGGATAAATAAGCGACGAATTAAATCCCACATGCGCCTATCGAACACCTAATTCGGTGACTCGTTGCTAATATCGACTTCATTCTTTTGTATTGGTATTAAACGTTGTGGCTCCATCCAAAGTATATGATCGAAGTTTAAAACAAGTTACCAAACAAAAACAGGTAGCAAGGTTGTAAAAATCGGTCGTTTCTGAGACGTGATGTGTAACCGATTAATTCATTTATTGTTACTAAAACCAAATTTATGTACAAAACGCCAAAACGGCATGATACCTATATGTATTTAGCAGGTAAAAAAATAAAGTAAAATGTACACTTGGTCACACGAACTAATAATATTTAGATTTGTATAACGATTTACAGATTGTACAAATTAAAATAAATATGTTTAAAAAATATAAAGTGAAAACTCTTTATAACGAAAAACTCTATATTACGTAAATAACATTAAGTTAACTTATAATGGTTGGTTTGATTTAAAACGTATTAATTACTCTCTATTACAAAAACTCTCAATAACGAAAGAAATCACATGGTCCTTTCAGATTCGTTATAGAGAGTATTCACTGTATATATGTTACGGGCAAAGTAGGAAATCCGGGCATTGTACTAGATTGCCCGGGCAAAGTGTACCCTGCCTAGATTCAAGTGGGCAGATGTGATCTTCGGTGTATTCTAGGAGTTATACTATCTGGTAATTCATTTTAAAATAATTTTTAAATTAATAATTTTTTTATAGTAAAAGATAATTTATATGAAATTGGAACTAACGAGGGCAGACTACATCAACTCTACAGTCGGAACCAATTCACAATATGTAAAGAGGTGTTTATGATGATGTACCACCAGTATAAATTTCATTAAGAGAAGTGGCAAGAAAATCTTCTAATTTGGGTAGCCAAAAGTACGATAGGTGTACTTGCAATTGTTTACATTGTGTAAGACCAACCAGTTTAAATGTAAAAGATCTGGTCGTCTTTGCAACTCAAAGTGTCATAATAGTGGTGTATGTGGTAATAAATAAAKCAAATAAATAATAATTGTAATTTAATAATAAATAAATTAAATATTAAAGCTGTGCAACTTTATTTATTTTTAATATCTTTATTTTTAATTTTTTATATAATATTCAATATTTAATCTACTGTGTCCAAATCTAATTGGGCACTGTATACAATGCCTGGGCAACGTTAACTTATTCCAACTTTGCCCTTGAAAATCGGGCATTGTGCACAGTGCCCGGTCATTGTACACAATGCCCGACTTTCTACTTTGTCCGTAACATATATATAACGATTTGAAAAAAATGTACGTTAATGATTCTATTAAAAGAATAGATAATTGACAATTATAATTTTATTATTTGACATTTCAATAATTCAAAATATTTTTATTTTATAATTATTTAAGTATTGTATCTATATATATATATATGTATATATCTAATGTATATGGTAAAATTTGTAATAACTAATAATGACTCGATAATAATAATTAGATAATATATATTAATTTAGTAATATAATTTTACTTTATTATGAAAATACTATAGATAACGTAATATTCTATTTCAGGGATTTAATTTCACATAATTATAGGTACATTATATAAAATAAAAATATTATTTTGAATGCTTGAAAATTATAATATTAATATAAAAGAAAGTTAAATCGTACTCAATAATATATATTTTAAACTTTGAACATGGGTTTGTTTTTCATTTTAATATTACCTTAAGATCTACTTGATTTCAATTTTTTTATTGATAAGAGTATACCTTTACTGGCTAAACTATAAGTATGTATTTGTAAATTTTAATAATGTGGTAATCGTACACTTATTAGCGTTTAAAAACGCTATTTGTTCAATAATCTCCATGTGGTTATGAGAAACGTTGAGTACTGGGATTTTTTTCCAGGGGATTTTTATTTCGATTATCCGATTACCTGGCTTCACATAGGTACCTACATATTATTAGATCATGATACACAAAAAATATACAGTAAACTAATAAAATATATACATTAATGCGCCGTGAATTCGTGGTAGGAGCGGCGATAAGTGTCGAAAAATAGCGATTGTAAACTTGGTCCGAGGAAAAAAAATATTCAAAAGGTCTATTGTAAACTCGGCCCATGTTTTTTACATATAAAAATTATTTTTGTGTTAAATCGACCCAGGGTTTTTACAGGTAAAAATTATTTAGGTGTAAACTCGGACCGGGTTTTTTTAAGGTAAAAATGATTGAAGTGTAAACCTGAATAAAAATGTACATATAATTTTCCTATAATATTTTTGAGAACCATTACCAGAGGACACAAAAAAGTGTAAAAATATAAGTTAAAAATAAATATAATGTATAATAATTTATAAATCTATTTTTTTTCGAGTAAAAAGCTTAATATGTGTTTAACGTATTCAATAACCTATATAGGTATTTCATTATTTTTATGATTTGTAAGTGTTCTTTTTAAGAGTTTTTTTTTTTTAGTTTCATAGTATGGAATTGATATGGTGCATCTATACTGTTAATTTTAATGTATGTTTCTGTCTGTACTTCTTTTAATTATTTTATTATTTGCAGCTTAATTTATGTCATGGTTATTATATATTATATGAGTAGGTACGACTTTTATCATCATCTGAAGTTTTCAGGCTTAGTTTACAATCGATCTATTTTATTACCTGAAATTTCCTGGCCGACTTTACAATCTACTTATTTTATAATCTAAAATTTTCGAGCCGAGTTTACAACAGAAAGAGGTAACCTCAGGGCTCAGGCCCAGTTTACATTTTCCTGAAAAAATAATGTTTAAAAAGAGTACAATAGTCAAAAATACAAAGCGTGTAATGTGCACAATATTGTACAGGATGGATAAGCTAGGTAGGTATTCAGGTATGTGAGGGGTGCTTGAATAACGTATTC